ATATGTTGTCACAGCTTGTTACCCAGTTGGAGGGAATCCTTGCAATCTTGTGCTGGGCTCACCACATGTGCTTTGCTTTCTTTTTCTCTGCTGATTTTGCCTCATATGCTCTTACCACTGCTCGTAACTGTATGTTGAGTGCTAGGAGTTCTAATGAATCATTAACCCAGGGGATGATCTAGGGACCTGCTAAAGCAGTAACTGTAGGATTCTGACCTTTAAAGCGATGGAATGGGATCCAAAATTGTTTTAGGAGGTGCTGAAGTTCTGTTGTCACTCTAAATTCAGCCATCATAGACTTTCTAACTAGAATAATCACTTCTCTTGGAGAAAGGAATGTGAAACTTTGTGGTATTAAATTGGGAGTGATGGAGTAAATGTGAGCTTCCTGGTACAGGTGCACCTTTCTGGGAGATGTCTTGGACTAGGAATTCCACCTGTTGTGCTCTAGATGCCTCACTAGCTTTTGTTACAGTGGCCAGCTTATTATAGATTCTCAGTGGTTTTGATGGCTGAGCACAGAAAGCTAATTTCAGTTATAAGTTATTTGATGATGTGCCTAGGAGTTTTTATTTACTTATTTCTCATTTTATAGTTGACTTTGAGCCAGCCCTCAATAACTTTGTTCTATCCTAATTTTGGAATTCTCTGAAATGTGATGGGCTAACCAAACTGTGGTATATTCCATTTGGTGCTTTGAGTTAGAGGCCTGACTTGAGTCTGTATCAGATGGTATCTCCTGGGTTTGGGGCATCCTCGTGTATCTATCTAGTACCTCGGGATGGCTCAAATAGCTGTGAGTGGGTTGGAGGGGCTTGGCTGGGATCGTGTTTCTAGGGCCTTGGTTTTCATTTCACTTTGTATTCTTCTCCATGTGGTCTTAGGGCCTCTCACTTACTATACGATCTCCTCAGCACTCAGGATTCCCCAAAATGCAGAAGTAGAAACTCAAATTCTCTTAAAGCTTAGGCCCAGGCATTACTTGTGCCAGCTAAAGTGATTCCAGAACCATCTCATGTTCAAGAAGGAGCAAATGGAATCCCCCTATCGGTGGGGAGTTGGCATTTGTGTACAAGGAAAGGAAGGGATTGAAGGCTGCTGCCTTTGGTACTGTCACAATAATAATACATTTGTAATAACTTTCAAATATTCTCTTTGTAAACTTTGACTTTAAATATTCTGCTCTAACATGTTTTGTTATGATTTTGTGTGATAGATTTAAACAAATATTAAAAGATGATGACAGACTTACAAATTATAACTTGAAAACATAATGATCCATTATATCCATGTCATTTACACATATGGAAACAATCTGACGGAGATTATGACGTTTGTAGAAAATTACATGTGCAGTTAATGATATAATAAATATTGAAGAAACAAATCAGTACACAGTTTCACTCCATAAACTGAAATTATTTAAAAAAATTTTAAGTTAAAATTGGTGATTTTACAGAGTGCCTTCAGGGCCTGGTGCAATAGCCTAGTGGCTAAATCCTTACCTTACAAGCTTGGAATCCCATATGGGTGGTGGAGTGTATCCTGGATACTCCACTTCCCATCCAGCTCCCTACTTGTAGTTTGGGAAAGCAGTAGAGGGTGACCCAGAAAGCCTTGTGACCCTGCATGTGTCAGGGAGACCCGGACAAGTTCATGGCTCCTGGCTTTGGATCAGCTCTGCTCCAGCCATTGTGACCATTTGGGGAGTGAACCAGTGGATGAGAAATTTTTCTGTCTCCTTTTCTCTGTATATCTGCCTTTCCATTAAAATATTTTTTTAAACAAAATTCATTAATTCATTAATGTGTAGTTTCTAAAACCTGCTGTTTGTTAGTTTGGGATTAAGCCACTTGTGTTTAAAAAACAATCACTGCCCCATTAGGTGAGAAGCAAGCTGCATGCAGTCAGCGGCGTGGCTGACCTTGGTAACGCCATCTGTGTTTATTTTCATAGTAGAATACATACCCTAAGTGAATTTTGCAGGGCATATTTCACTTGTACTTGTTTGTAAACATACTAGGGGATGTAAACCTAGAAGAGTCTAAATCAGTGGGTTTGTCTGTGCTCCTCTGGATCCTCTGGATCACTTTGGATCCAAAGGATCCTCTCCTCTGGATCACTTTAAAGGGTTGATTCCAAAGCCTGGGCTCCGTTCCAGCTCTGTGAACTAAGAATCTCTGATGAGTGGGGCTGGATGTCTTGTCTTTCCTCCGTGGTTAAAGCTCCTCATGATTCCAGTGTGTGATAAGCTCACTGGCAACCACATGTCTAATAGGACTGACTTCTTTACACCAACAAAAAATGTGTTTGTTCTGTACTAAGTGGCTATTTTCTGTTTGCAGCAATGGTCTCTTTATGTTTCCATTTAGTGAAACGTAATTAAAATGTAAATTTCAGCAAAATGAAATGATACAGATTGAAAAGCAAAGATCTTGAGAATCTTGATGTTTACATGTGGAGCATTACAGTTTACGATGTGTCAATTTAAGAACTGTGAATTTCCCTCCTAAATTGGTTAATCAAAAATCAGTCATTATAGAGAGTCATTTTGTTAATGATTGGAATTTTATCCATGAGCTAGATAAAATATTGTGAATTTTATAGCATAGAAGATACAGAAAAAATGCACTGCATCCTTTCAGCTCAGCCTGGGAAAAGAGTGTGTTTTAAAGTTTAGAGTCATGTGCTGTCATGAAAACGGTGGGGGTATTCCTGTTGAATGGAATAGGGGGCTGGCATTATGGCATAACAGTTTAAGCCACTGCTTGCATCTCCAGTCTACCTTGTGGGCTCCAGTTTTAGTCCCTGCTGCTCTACTTTTGATCCACCTCACTGCTTATGAGTCTGGGAAAGCATCAAAAAATGGCCCAAGTGCTTGGGCTCCTGCAGTTGGGAGATTTGGTTGAAGCTCCAGGCTTCAGCCTGGCCCAGCTCTTGTTGTTGTGTCCATTTTGGGTGCACCACCGGATAGAAGACCTCTCTCTGTTCATGCTTCTCTCTTTCCCTAACTGTTCAAATATATATATTTGAAATATATATATGTTTACAAATATTTGCGTATTATATATTTTATGTTATATATTATACTCAGATTTATTCAATACAATATAAATAATATAAATGCATAACTGATGCATATTGCATAAATATTTAATACACTTAAGTTTAATATATTTAAATTATATATTTATAATATATAAATGAAATATAAATATATTTTATACATTTTTTATATATATGGGATTTTGATGTCAGGTTCTTACACCTTTCAAAATTTCATGGTGAACATAGGAAATGACCGTGTTGTTTTGAATGTCAATTGGATATCCTAGTAAAAACCTGTCATTTTAGTAGTGGGTTGTTCATTGTTTGATTTCGTCTTCTGTTATTGTTTTACCTGAATGTTCTTCTCATTTGCCTTTGGTTTGGGTGGGTACTACTTTTCTCTGCCAAGAGAACATCTTTAAGTATCATTTGTAGGGCAGGCTTGGAAGAGGTGTATTCTTTGAGCTTTTCTTTATTGTGGAAGAATTTTATTTCATTTTCAAAGACAAAGAAAAACTCTGCTGGGTATGTTCTAAATTGACACCTATTAATATTAACCCTGAATAGAAATGCTTAAACCCATCAACGAGATGTCATAGATTAGTAGACTGGATTTTAAAAAAACAAAACCCATCATCTCTCTGTTGCCCACAGGAGACACATCTCACCAACAAAGATCAGTGGAAACTATATCTCATGTATTTTGATGTTTTTGTTTTTATTTTCAGTTCTTCATAATGTTTTTTTTCCCATATTAAATTCTTCACTGACTCATAGGTCAAAAAGTAGCATCATTTTCTTCAAAAAGGTTCTTGATTTTCATTTCTTCAGCAACACATTAGTCGTTTAGTAGCATGTTATTTAACTTCATGGCATTATAAATTTCTGTTTTTCTTCTTGTTGATTTTGTATTGTGACTTTTCATTTAAGGGGATGTATAGTAATTATGTGAGATTTAAAATGTTTGACACTTTCAGCTTTCTAAGAATAACTTCTTTTTCTAATATGTAAAACTTTCAATGAACTTTTAACTCTTTAATTTTCGGTTTCTTAAGAAAAAAGATCTTTTAATTCAATCTCTAATGGGACCTAGGAACTCTATATAAGTTTCTCAAATAGGTGGCAGGGACCCAAGTTGTTGTGCTGGTTTCCTAGATACATTAGCAGGAAGCTGGGTCAGAGGTGGAGCAGTTGGGACTCCAGCTTTTGATGTGGCATGTCTGGTTTGCAGGTGAAGTGTAACCTTCTAAGCCACCATCCAACCCACTCAGTTACTTTTCAGAAAAATTTTTATTCCACAAACAATTGTTTTATTTTCAGATAATTCTTTTATTGTTGTTGTTATTATTATTTTATTATTATTTTCCATGGCACATTTTTGTAGGTATTCCCACCTTCACCTTCCCTTCTCCTCCTTCTCCCTTCCCTCCCTGTGTTATTATAATAGCATAATCCTTCAGCAATAGTTGCATCCAGTTCCTTTCTAGGAAAGCACTGTATATGAAAGTACAGTCTTGAGCAGAATGTTAGAATTACTCTTGTTTTGGGAGGGGGTAGGATGCTACTGTAAATTTTCATTACTAAATTCTAGGTTACTTTTGTGACTCAAGAATATTGTAGTTTTTAAAATAAAATATTTAAGGTGGTTTCAGATCTGAATTTCTTGTGACATAAATTATTCTTTTGAATGTAGACCCGAAACTACATTACAGAATGATTTTTTCCATTAGTCATAGTTATATCCAGCCTTACTTAATAAATCTGTGTTAAAAGAAGAGTTATTCTCGTTATTTGTTTTCTGTTTCTTGAGGTATTGTAAGGGATGAGTGTCCTGTACCTGGACTCAGTTGTCTAGATTGTGATGACTCCAATTTCTACTTGTGTTTGAAGACTCTGTCTTGTTTGCATTCCTGACAAGACAGTGAAGGCATTAGAGATAACGGAAGCAGGATGAATTTTTTTTTTCTGAGAATAAACATGTTAGTAATGATAACATCAATAATGAATTTCTCATGTGATTTTTTTAAAAAGGACACTTTAAATTTTTCCTTAGCAATGTACTTGGCCTGTGGTTGTCTAAATGTGCTTCCCTACCCCACTAACTCTTCTTTTTTCTTCAAATAATAGATCAGTGACTATCATCTATTCCACAAGATGAGTAACAGCCATCCTCTTCGCCCCTTCACTGCAGTGGGGGAGATTGATCATGTGCACATTTTGTCTGAACATATTGGTGCCTTGTTGATTGGGGAAGAATATGGCGATGTCACATTTGTTGTGGAAAAAAAGCGTTTTCCTGCCCACAGGGTAATTTTAGCAGCCAGATGCCAGTATTTTCGGTAAGTGTGTAAAGCTTGTTTGAAGATTCATGTTGCTTATTGAGAATACTGATGTTTTCCACTTTAAAAACTATGTAGCCAAGCCTAATGAGATTCTAGCAACTCTTCAGTCTAGCATCTGTAAGAAATTCATCTTTGCCACTGGTATTAATTTTTTGAGAATGGTTTCTTTCTTTATGAGCCATTTTAGATTTCAAGGGTTAGAAGGCTTCTCAGGCTGGACAGTACTCAGTCGTTTCCTTGGTTTACAAAATGTTTTCAGGCAGACCTTCTTTGCTCTCTATTTTCCTCTCATTTAATGACTAAGGGGAGTTGAACAGACTCATTTGAAGAGGTGGTGTTGTATAGACTGATCTCCATGAACTTGTCCACCTCTTCGCCTCAGTCCACTGAGGCCCAGGATCTGTAGGTAATCCAGCAGATGTCTCTAAGATACACAGTTTGACAGTTGCAAATTAAGACACTTCAGTATTGACTGGGACTAAGATTCATGGTTGTGTTAGAACTAAGACTATAAGCAAAGTGTATCTTTATTGTAAAAATTACCTACAGAAAATAATTGCAGATAGTTACCTTTTAGTGATCAGTCTGTTCTTCAAGAAGAAACTCAGATGTAGAAAATTTGAAGACTAATTTGAATGGATGGAACATGTCTACTTTGTTGTTGACTTTGTCCGTGGTGAACCTCTGTGATGTTTGATGCCTCACTAGACTGAGCTCAGTCATTAACAAAGCTACCCTAGGCAGATTCTCATTGAGACACTTTCCTAATTTAAGAGATGGCTGTCAGCCAGCAGGAGAGGCCTGAGTGCTGGCTGTCGCAAGAACCTCTGGCTTGCCAAGTAAGAATAAGCTCATTGCTCAGGAGAACACTGAACCTCCCATACCTGCTGTATCCTGGGGAAGATCCAAGATGTGTCTGCTCAGGACAGAAGATATTGATCTTCCTTGATCTTTATAATGGTTGTGAAGAATGTGTATGTCACATTTTTTTCAGCCGTGTTCCTATTTGGCCATTTAGATTTTATCCAGTGCTCCAGCATGCATTTATCTGTACTATATTCTTACTCTATGGTTAAGTCTTACAAAAGAAATTGCTGAATTGAGGGTATTACACCATAGACTTGAATAGATGTTACTAAATGTCCAAAGCAGGGCCCCTTTATATATGCCCTCTGAGCAGTGCATGAAGGAACCTGTTTTCCCATTACTTTCGCAGGTGGCGGTAGTAATTGATTTTTAATTTCTGCCAGTTTGGCAGTAAAGAATGGTATCTGACTTGTATTTTTTTTTTCTGATTGCATCTTCTATAGTTTTACTTTTCAGACTCTCTTATTGACCTTTAACAAAATGTTTTTATTGATTACACTGTCCTTCTCCAAAGATTTTGTCTTTCTATTTAATGTTTATAACATATCTTGAGCTTTCAGAGTATCTCGTAAATTCATTTGCTTGTAAATTAATTCAGAAGAGTTCTTAAATCATTCCTGTTGCTTTCTTTAGAGAATAAAATGTCAGTTTTGCCTTTCTTCACCGGGTCTTTGTGTCAATGAACGCATTTATGTTTACATAACGGTGATAACCATTATTTCCTGCATTCGGCAGCAGATCTTACTTAAGAATCACCTTGTGGGTCTCTTTCTTCATTTGCAGAGCATTACTGTATGGTGGGATGAGAGAATCTCAGCCTGAAGCAGAAATCCCTCTCCAAGACACTACTGCAGAAGCGTTCACAATGCTGCTTAAATACATCTACACTGGGCGGGCTACACTGACAGATGAGAAGGAGGAGGTGCTGCTGGATTTTCTGAGCCTGGCTCATAAATATGGATTTCCAGAGCTGGAGGATTCCACTTCTGAGTATCTGTGTACCATACTTAATATTCAGAATGTCTGCATGACTTTTGATGTTGCCAGTCTCTACTCACTGCCCAAGTTAACTTGTATGTGCTGCATGTTTATGGACAGAAATGCTCAGGAGGTACTCTCAAGTGAAGGTTTCCTCTCTCTTTCTAAGGTATGTGATTTTCCACAACTAATTTGTAGGCATGCACTGCTTTATTTTATACCCGTACTGTAGAAATATGACAGAAGACTAGGAATAAAAAAATACAGATAATTTGTATGCAGGAGATGATCTGGTCACGTTTCTGAAACTGCTGGGACTCGAGATCATATAAGACAGATACTGACTCATTTTGTTTTCTCTTAAGGCTCTTCTAATACCAGAGAGAAGTGCTGCTAAGTGGTTGTCTACAAATAGGATCCTTTGTGATTTTGTATTACTTTTTTTTTGCTTTTGTTTTTCTCCAACTTAGAGTGTGACTTATATTTCCTTATATAAGAAAAATATTCATAAAGGAGGTCTTAGGCATCATTGGATGTATTTAAGTCACTGCTTTTATCATTGTCTCAAAATTCTTCACTCTAGTTAGAGGTAAAAGTATTTTGCTCAACTCTAAATTGTAATTGTCTTTCCTTTTCTTTGTGTGCTCCTCCTAGGACCTGGATATTTCTAATGAGAAAAATTAATTAAAAAGCTATGTATCTTGTTTTGAATGGAAAATGATATTTATTACCATATTTCTTTTTTTTTTTTTACAAAAAGTTTTGTTTGAACAGACAAGACAGAGATTGATTATGAATCAGTTGTCCATTGACTGGTTCACGTATCAAATGACCATGGCAGCTGGATCTGTGCCAGGCTAAATCTGGGAGCCATGAGATTCATCCTGGTCACTCCTATGGGTGGCAGGAGACCAATTAGTTGGGCATCTTTCGCTGTCTTACCGGGTTCATAAGGAGTAAGCTGGATAGGTAGCAGAGCAGCCAGGATTTGACCTGGCACTCAGATTTGGAATGCCCTTTTCATAAACTACAGTTTAACCTGTTATGTCACAACACCCACCCATCCTACTTAATTTTTTTTGAAATATTTATTTTTAATGGAAAGGTAAATTTACAGAAAGAAGGAGAGACAAAGAATAAGCTCTTCCATCCACTGGTTAACTTCCCAAGTGACTGCAACAGCTAAAGCTGAGCTGATCCAAAACCAAAAGATAGGAGCTGGGAGCTTCTTCTGGGTCTCCTACACAAGTGCAGGATCTGAAGGCTTTGGACATCCTGCACTGCTTTCCCAGGTCACAAGCAGGGAGCTGGATGCGAAGTGGAGCATCCAGGATATGAACCAGTGCTCATATGGGATCCCTGCACATACAAGGCAAGGATTTAGCCACTGATCCATTGTGCCAGACCCTATCTCATTTAATTTTTAAAAACAAGAATCTCTGAGGATTATACCACTTGTGTTGGGGGTCAGTCTGGAAATCTTAACATAAATAAGGCACTGCAATGATGCTATGAAACAAATGATTTTGAATTGTAAACACTGGATTTAGAAATGAGCATTCTTCTGAAAACCCTGTGTGTTGATAGTTCCTTATTTTGCTGTCTTCCTTCTTGCTGTTTGGTACAGGATGGCCTGGCAGCGAAGACAAGTGTGGTACTATTCTTTCTTGTTATTTATGTAGTCATAATGAGCAGGAGGGTGTGTGGCACAACGTAGAAGGGAGGAAGACACTCAAAAAGAACTGAATGTTGGTTCTGTAAGGTTTTGCTGATGGGCCCTGTGTGTGACTCTGCTCCGGGATGACTCGGTTCTTTCCATTTTGTTCTTTTCAGACAGCACTTTTAAACATCGTGTTAAGAGACTCATTCGCAGCTCCTGAGAAAGATATTTTCTTAGCCTTGTTAAACTGGTGTAAGCACAATTCAAAGGAGAATCATGCTGAAATCATGCAGGCTGTGCGCTTACCTCTGATGAGTCTCACTGAACTCCTGAACGTGGTGAGGCCTTCGGGACTGTTGTCCCCTGACGCCATTCTGGATGCTATCAAAGTCCGGTCAGAGAGTCGGGATATGGACCTCAACTACAGAGGCATGCTTAGTAAGTACTGTTTGTTCTGAACTTGCCAACAGGTTTTCTTTCCATCTAATGCCAGCTACTTTCTCAAGTTCATAATTCTAACTGCAGGACTGTAGTGGAGATATGCATGAGTTCTGTATGACTATGAACATACAACTCTGCAGGAATCACTTTCCTTGTTCTTTTCCAGTTAATTCCCCTCAGACTGATGACCTCTGTGGAACTCAAAAGAAGTATTTGTTGATATTGCTGATCAGCTTCTCCAACTGCTCTCTCCTGACTGTCAGAAATAGACATTTTCCTGATAAGTGATTTCTCATGCTTTTACTCCATCAGAGAAATACCACGCACTTGTCATATATTTAATTATTTTCAGTACCAGAAATATGGAGATTCCAAATAACAACAGTAATAACTGGCAGTTATGTAGCATTTCTGACACTTCCCTGCTGAGTTTTCTTATTAATTAAAGTAATAGCACATAAAATGCTTACCATGCATAAAAGGGGTCCCACATGATCACTTAATTCTCAGAACAATCCATTTCAGTTAGATTACTCCATTGAGTTAAGTGAAACTCAATTTTACGAATAAAAATATGAAGCGCAGAGAGGTTAAGTAACTTGCCTAAGTTTACACAGAAAGATTGGGTGCTGACAGTCAAGCATGTAGCTTGGCTCCAGAGTTTATGTAATAATTCACTAAACTATGTAAGTAATGGAGACTGGTGAACTGGAAATTAAAGTTACAGTATAGTACACACCTCTACTCCTGAATGAAAGTAGAACTTCCATTTTGAAACATGTAAATGCACCCATACAGCATGGTGTTAAATTTTCTACCTTTATTATTCATACCACATCATGATATATTTAAGTGGGAGAAATTGAATCTTGTGATGGTTGCTAAGGGACTGTACTACTGTGATAATTTAGGGAATAATAATTGGGTGGAGGGCAAGGTGCAGAAAGACCAATCTTTGTACCTAAAAAATGTAAACAAAAATGACCAAAACTCCACAGTTTTTGCCTTTGATTCTTTTAATTTCTTTGTGGAACTAAGGCATGAAAAGTGAGAGAAGAACCACTACAGCTATAAAAATGAACAACAAAATAGAAATTTCCCTACATTCATTACCTTTGATTCTTTTAAATTTTTTTGATATTTGTAAGACATCAAAAAAAGACATCAAAAAGTTAAAGGTGTTCAAGAGAGTATAAGCTGTAGAATTTCTGAAGAGGGTGTGACTTGGAATGATTGAGGATGGTTTCATATAAGTTTTGAAGCTAGAGTTTAATGTGAGTGCCATGGGGATTGGGTGAAGTTCAAGTGGGAAGACTGCTGAGGTTAATAAAGGTTGAAGCTATTGAGGGACAGGAACTAGAAGAGGTTGATTAAAGCAGAAGGTTTGTGTTGACTGATAGAAAAGGCAGGTCAGCTTTGTGAGTGTCAGATCAGGAAAACTAGGCTGGAATCTCCCTGATGTGCAGTGAAGAGCAGGTTTAAGGTAGGACAGGTGAGACACAGACAGTGGTGGTTTTGGAAGATTGGCCCATGGTGCTGTGCTAGATGATTTGGAATAATGAAGAGCTGGATTCAGGAAGACTGGATCGGTAGGAAGACTGGATCGGTACACACATCAGTACACATTGAACAGCATTAAGCCTGATTGGTAGCAGGGAGAACTGGAAATAGCGATATAGAAGGATATTATGGGAAAAAATTAAATCTTGGTGATACGAGAGATTTAAGTTTAGGAGGTTACCATATTTTATTAATTCAAAGAAGCCATAAAATTTCAGTTGCTGTTATTTTATCTTTTACTAAAGAAAGGAAAAAATACTGTCAGTTAAGTATGATGCACTATGATGGCCTCATCCTGATTTAAGAAATGTTAAAATTTGAAAAATGTGTCTGTAGAGTTAATGAAGTATGGTAATTCTTTGAAAGAAGATGCTGAGTTGCTTTTTGAACTTACTGAGTTTCAAGGCTTCTGGGACATCTGAATTGTAAGTTCTGTCTCATGCTGGTCATTTTTCTGAGTGATCTTTTTCTTTACTGTGGCTTCAGACATTCTGTTGTGATATAGATTGATCTCTAATAGTCATCCTTGGTCTAAACTTTAAACTTCTAACTTATTAGTGCTAGGTATCTTCACTGGACATAGTAAAAAAAGAGCATAGACTTTGTGTCAAATTTGATTTCAAATCCTGAATTAGTTATTTGCTAGATGTATAACCTAGTATTAAATATTTAGTTTTATATCTTCTAGTACATGTTATCAGAATTGAAATAATGTGCTTTATACACAACATAGGAAACTATTGTTAAAATATCCTGTTCTTCCTCCTCTCTGTATGTCTGTGGGAATTAGCACATTGATCATGTTGTTTTAAAACATTTGTATTCACTTGCTTTTGGTCCTTGAAGACGTTTTTGTAGACCTTATTGATTGTTCTCAATCTTTTAACACATTGGATAGCGTATAGCAGGCACTTGGTGAATGCTTGCTGTATGAATACAATGAGAAATATCTAATAGGAAATGGAAGCATTTTATTTAGAAGTAGTTAAAGCTGTTGATCAAAGTGTCAAAATCTGGGCAACAGCATGGACAAAGAAGTAAAGACCGAAGCTGGAGACTTGGAAAAGGAATAGGCAGGTGTCTAAGGAGAGAAATACTGAAGAGGTGGAAAGACAGTTGGATAGTGGAGTGTAACAGAGACCAGCCAATGTAGAGAGTTTTTATATGGTAGCTGTGGCCACTGGTGTCTCCCAGGGCTGGCATCACCCAAGGTCAAGGAGGATAAGAATTGTGAGAAAACTTTCAGATTTAATTTGTGATGAGTTGTTGAATGGTCTGGACAGAAGTCTGAGTGACAGCACTGGGAGTTAGGTTATAAATGTTTGAAAAGACAGAATTTACAATATGTTGACTATGTGGTGGGTGGATTAGGGTGAAAAGGTAGTATAGAAATATGGTAGTTAGAGAAGGCAGGTTGGGAGAGGTCCAGGAAGTAATTGGAGGTGCCCAAGACTTGCACTAATTGAGAGTTAGCCTTGGGTAAAGCGTGGGAGGATGTAGGGTGGAGAGGCAACATGGTGATTCATTAGTTTTAAACAAATCCTCATTGTTTGATCCTCTCTTGCATAGCTCCCCTTCATTGTTTGATCCCCTTTTTACCTTGGGTTTGATTTGAAGTGCTGATAGAACTCTGAAATTGGATTCATTAAAAGTTAGGCTTCGGACCAGGTGGCAGTGATAGGGAGGTGTTTTCGACATTTCATGAAGATACTCAACTTAGAATCGATCAGTATTTGTCTAAAACTTGGGTTTTAATAAGCCTATGAAGTTACTGGTAGAAGAGTGTGATCAACTAGTTGAGGCGCTTAGTTTTGGAGAGACAGATGTACTGAGATTATTACTCATCAGTGTTAAATCCTGCATTTTGGAGTAATGTAGGGCGAACTCAGAGTTTATGTAAATGTTTGGAAGTCTTTTACTTAACCTCTAAACTTGAGTAATAATTAAATAGCAGACTTTCCAATCCTTCAAAGTATATGAATGCTAAAATCAACAATATAACTACTAAGAATGCCTAACAGTCTCCTGCTAGATCCTTAAAAATAGATGATTGTCTAAATAAATATAATCCCAGCACTCATTTAGTTATTTATTTTACTTTCTAGATTGCTACAAACAGGTCTAAAATTTCAAAACTGGGGTTGTTGTAATAGTATAGTTAGTTAGGCTTCTGCCTGTGATGCTGGTATTTCATATGGGCTCTAGTTTGAATCCTTATCTTTTAACATTTGATTCAACTACATGCTAATGTGCCCTGAGAAAGCAGCAGAAGATGGTCCAAGTATGTGGGCCTTTGCCACCCATGTGGCAGTCTGGCCCAGTCCTGGCCATTTGGGGAGTGAGCAAGCTGGAAGATACATGTCTCATATCTTATTGTAATTCTGCGTTTCAAATAAAGAAGTCTTTAAAAAATAAATTTTAGGGGCTGGCATTGTGGTGTAGCAAGTTAAACCTCTAGCTGCAGTGCCATTTCTTTTCTTTTTTTCTTTTTTAATTGGAAAGTCAGACTTATTTACAGAGAGAAGGAGAGACAAAGAGAAATATCTTCCATTTGCTAATTCACTACCCAAGTGGCTGTAACAGCCAGAGCTGAGCCATCCCAAGGCCAGGAGCCAGGAGTTTCATCTGGATCTCCCATGCAGGTGAAGGGTCCCAAGGCCTTGCATCATCTCCTCCACTGCTTTCCCTGGGCACAGACAGGGAGCTGGCTGGGAATGGGGCAGCGGGGATCCTAACCAATGCCCGTATGGGATTCCTGCACATGCAAGGCAAGGACTGGACTTTAACTCTAGGATACAACCATGCTAGGTCCAGTGCCATCATTTCCTTTTTTTTTTCTTTAAGATTTGTTTATTTTTATTGGCTAGTCAGATTTACAGAGAAAAGGAGAGACAGAAAGATCCTCCATCTCCTGGTTCACTTCCCAAGTGGCTGTAATGGCCTGAGCTAAGCTGAAGCCAGCAGCCTGGAGCTTCCACTAGGTCTTCTGTGTGGGTACAGGATTCCAAGATCTTGGGCTGTTTTCTACCACCTTCCCAGGCACAAACAGGTAGCTGGAAGGGAAGTGGAGCAGCCAGTACACGAACCAGCATCCATATGGGATCCCAGCTATGGCACCAGGCCTATTTCTTATGTACAGTGGTTTGAGACCTGGCTGTTGCACTTCCAACCCGGTTCCTTGCTTATGGCTTGGGAAGGCAGCAGAAGATGGCCCAAGCATTTGGACTCCTGCACCCATGGTGCAGTCCTGGCTGAAGCACCTGGCTTCAGCCTGGTCCAGCCCAGCCATTTGGGGAGTGGATTAGTGGATGGAAAATCCCCTTCTCACTCTGCCTCCCAAATAAATTTAAAATAAATTAAAAATTTTTTAAATGTAGAAATTCAAGAATTTTCTTGGGCCTGTTTTGGAAAGATACATATGCTTATTTTGAGATTGT